ACCACCAGGTAGTTGTCCCCTCTCACCAGCCAGCAGGCAGCCCCTGCCTGGGGACAAGTCCTCTGTGGGCAGGGGCTGAGGGGGACTCCATGGTGTCTGCTGTTCTGTCCCTCCCTCTGTGGGAAAAGCTTGGATTCCAGAAATGCTCACAAGCACCACTGTCCTGATGGGTGGGATGTGCTGTTCCTCCTCCCTGTGCACTGAGCCTCCTCCTGGGCCAAGATCACTTCCCTGGTCACATGGGCCAGGGGCGGGGTCTGTACCAGGTTCCTCCCTGCCCTCCCCTTATTCCTGCCTCCCCTTTTCTTTCCTCTACATTTGCATTCCCTGTAACTGCCGAGGCTTCTACCTTCTTCCGCAGTGACTCCTCCCCATGTACACACACACACACACACACACACACACACCTTGCTTGTGTAGTAGGCAGTTAGGCCTGAGCAAAGTAGGACAATAGGCCAGTAGGGAAGGTCACCAGAATGGAAATCCCTGGTTACCTAGCAATGTGCAAAACTCGAAACTGGACTGGGGCCTTGCCCCTTGGGTAACCTTTCTTTCCTGACCATATTCTGGTTTTGCAGTTTAGACCCTCTGACCTTTCATATCACCGGTCATGTGGTTCAGGCCCTCCCCTGACTCTTCCTCCCTTGGCATGTTGTTAGCCATGTGGGGTAGATGCCCTTTGAGGGGGAAGAAACCAGAGGACCTAAAAATAGCCCTTCAGCCTTAAGCCCCCAGGACAATGAGGTTCTGACTGGCATCAAATACATCAGCAAAATCAGATGAGTCAGAACAGCTGACATCAGGATCTACTGCATTGACTGATGACCTTCAACCCTAAATGACACACCAGGAAAGCTGATAAATATTTTATTGGGATCCTCCCCTGAGCCCTCCAGATAACTACCCTGAAGAAGTAGGTCCCAGTGCGACTCTTACTCTCTGGAACACATCGTGGCAGTCCCCACTCCTTCTTTCCTCAAGGCTCTTATCTTTGTTTTCTTTCTCCTAAGCTCCATGGGTCCTTCTTTTGCCGCTGTAACTAGTTTCTGAGCTCATTTCTTCTACAGCTCACTTCTTCTACCTCTATAACTTTCTAAATAAACTCTCTCTTATAATTTGAGCTCTTGACTCTGAATTCTTCTCTTAGCTGAACTCAAGTATCGAGGTTGCTGAACTGAGATCCCATCTAACTCTGCAGGTTAACACCTGGTGCCTTTCCACCGCTCACAATTGGACAAGCAGAAGCTTGGGGTGTACGTATCCAGGGTGTCTCCCACAGCTCTGTGTGGAGTGCACAGTAGCCTTCCCACCACCTTCTCTCATCCCCATTTGGCTCTTATCTTCAGAGCAGAAGCCTGGGATGACATGGAATTCTGGTCACAGGGATGCCACCCCATTGTGTATGGTATCATCTATGAAACTTTCTAAAGATTTCAATGCCCAGGGGACATCTTATAAATGCTGCTTCTGCAACTGCCCAGCTAAGGTGGATGCCCAGCCAGAATGAGACCCTGTGATGTGGAAATGGCGACTCCCCTGCCCATCTCCTGTGCACAGGGAGGGTCTGCAGGTCCTGCTAAAAATGCAGATTCTGACTCATGTGGATGAAAGGGGCCACATGTTAACCTGACGAGCTCAGGGGAGGCCTGCATGGCGGTCTTGCAAACTCAGAGACCTAAAGTAACCACAAAGGATGGTCTGAAATTAAACTTTAACTAAAAGCAGTTATGGTGGGTAGTTACATCCTAGATTGGTATCTTCACTGACAAGGTCAACCGTTATCTTAACTGAGCCTATCTGTCTTTTTGCATCTATGATGACATATCCTTGAAATGTCTGGGTAACTTGTAACTTCTCTTTTTCCCACCCCTTGGGGCACAACCTAATGTGCCTGGGGCCAGGACAGATACCACAAATTCTTTCATTGTTATTGTTATCATGTTAGTTGTTGACTATTAACTATCCTGCACCTTCTAAGTATGTGTCTATCATTTTACTTTTTATCCAACCCCTGAGGTTTCCTCACTTTACTTTCTCCCACATCTCTAATCTTTCATCAATGGCTTTCATGTAACCCACCTAGGCCCCTCCTGTGATTGCAATGTATAAAAATAGATGAAAAAACCTCTATTCTCTGTAGCACTATCCCAATTCCTTGAGATACTGCTTCCCAGCAATTGTCAACATTTTGGCTTAAATAAACTCATAAATTCTTTACAGGTTTGAATGTTTTTAAGTTAACATTACTTGGCGTATTCTCGGCAGGATTCCAAAGAAGCTCACCCAGGACCTTCCAGCAGACCCGGACTTGTTTCTAGGATCCAGCAAAGGCCCCATTGAGCCCGCTGGTTCCCCGTCCATTGGGTGAACCTGGGTGAGTTGTCTTTTGGATGCAGGACCTTCCCTTACTTTTGTTTGAGGGTCTGACTTTATTTGAGCTGTGTCTTACAATCCTTGAGGTGGAATTAAAGTTAAGGGTTGACAGAACTCAGGCTAAGGCGAGACTGGATGGAAAAAATGGGTGGCTGGTTTTGATTTTGGCTTTTTAATTAGAATTGCTTTCTGAGGGTCTGAGCAAAAAACCTTGGCTGTATAAATGAACTGAACTCATCAGGTCATAAGATATAGGGGCACATCCTCCCTGCAGTCCAATTCTTGGTTATTCGTAGGTGACTAAGAATCTTTGTGGAGGTGTCAGTGCAGGAGCCCCACAGGGAAGGGCCAGCTCAACTGTAATTAACTAACTGGCTTGTCTAGTGGGCCACCCTAAGGCTTGGTCTGCCCAGGCCCGAACCCTTCCTGTTGTTTTAGACAGCCAGGAGAGAAACTGAGGCCACACTTGACCCACTACATAACATATCCTGGAGACTTGCTCAGACTACAGATATCCAAAAAGAAAATAACATGGGAAATTGTGCCTCCAAGGCTATAAGCTCCCAAACCCCAGCCCTCATTTAATATTCCTGTTAGGAAGCCTTTACTTGCAAGTGCTTTACAGAAATGGGAAGATTTAACTAGAAAATATCAACTTAGAAATGGCCAAAATGCAGT